ATTATAACATAATACGAATGAAAAAGCAGACACACACACACACACACGAGCATACACACCAAATGAATGGAGAGAAAAAAAGAAGAAAGATGACAAAATTGGATGTGAAAATGTTTGGATAGTGTTGAATTCACGATGAATAATACATTGGGACACAATCTTTTAGTTGGTACTGAAATGCATTGAAGTGAGAGTGCGAAAAACCTACCGCATTGCACGCATACTAAATAGCTGAAAGGGCCGTTGGAAATGGAATAAATGCTGAAAGCAAACCTCATAATGCCCAAACAATATCAAACATTATTTGTTGCTGAGTGTGGAAATAAGTTTTGCAAGAAGAGAAGAGAAGAGAAGAGAAAAAAAACACTCAAAATGATACGTTTAATTCATGAAGCTTGCTCGCTCCCGTCATAATAACAGCACTATGGTTGAATGCGAAATGGGCTTTTGAAATAAGATGATTTGTTTGGCAAACTCACACACACATACATTTGGGTCTCTATTTCAACTTTAAAAAGTCTAGACATTGTGCCGAGAACACCCTTCGGTTTCCCATAAAGACAAGCGGCTGCCTTTTTAGCCCATCTAGTGATAAATAGTTCTCATTCGAATGTCATATCATATTATAAATGGTGTAATTGGTTCCTTCCCCTTCCATTGCTTCCATCTTTCTTCCGCGAATGTACAAAGACAACGATATATATATATATCGTTGAAGTTTCGAAACGAATGTAGCGCGACCATAGTGTGCCTTTTCTCTTCGTCTCCGTTCGCACATATATTCAAGCGACCAACTTTTCCAAGCAACAAATCATTTTAATTTCCCCCATCATTTGGGCATTTGTTTGTTCTTCCGATCACATTAACTCCACTATCCAAATTAACCTCGATTCGATAATTATTTTCGGAATTCACTTAAATCAATTCAACGGTTCATAATGATGAACACATGCCTGCTATCATTATCGTGCATCACAATTAAATGCCACGTCGAACCGATCCCAAAAAATGTCCGTGTTAATAAATTTTGATATGCGTATCAAAATTGTTCGTTTAGTACAACGGAGCGAGTGAATGAGTGAGCGGTGAGCGCTCAATGGATAGGAATCCACACCTTTATGCAAATGCTGATTGCGTGCACATTATTGTGTGTGTATTTACGTGTAAGTGGTGCTGAGTGGTGTGTGTAACATCCATATTCATATATATATATTTGCACATTATGTAAACATAATCGCCGGTTTTGAAAAGATGGCTGGCGAAGGAGGGAGAAAAAGATTCAGCGAAACACTTGATTTCATTTCATAAATGAAAAAAAGGGTTCTCGTGGTTTTTAATTGAAAAAAAAAACACACCCACACCGAGAGACAGAGTGCCTTTTCCGTTTGCAATTATTTCCTAATTGAATTGCTTCAATTGCAGCCCGTAAAAAATCCAATGAAAATTTCAAATTCCCATCGAAAGTGGCAAGCTACAATTTCAAAAGGAAAGCGACAAAAAACTAGCAGCTCGACAAAATGGCAATTTCATATTGCAAAACAATCTCATTCAATTCCATGTCAGCAAACAAACGGAAGTGGAAACGATACTTTGACAATAGGTGAAATTAAAATGCATTTATAATACCAAAATGATATGAGCCGTTTCGTGTACAAGAACACAATGACGACGACCACGACCGAAGAGAGTGAGAATGTCGAGGTATTTGTCAATTCAACGAGAGTAATTGAGTAGTTTCCAATTTCAGTAATAATTCATGCGATCGATATTGTCCTCTTTCGAACATAATGCGCAATCAATTTCGTTTCCAATTCATTTGAGTTGAGTATATCTTTTGCCGTGTCATTGAACAACCAATCCCTAATGAAGTTCAATTTCCACACTCTTTCTTTTTTTCTTCTCCTGTTTTGTTTTCAATTAATCGAAACGAAAGCCATGGACAATGCCTTTTGGTGCCATATTCTGTATTGCGCTGTGTGAGTAGGAGTGTGCAATACATACGGCATCTATGTGATATGAACTATTCGAAATATGCATAATGGAACTACAAATAATCCCCCAAACAACTGGAAGTCGATATGAAACACTTGTACTTTTTTTCATTCTGTGATACAAGATAAATTGGAATGAATTGTACGGCATGCCGCATGCAGAACAAAAGATAAGAGGATTTCACGGCCAGTCATCACCAAATATCAGCTTTTATTTGAAGCTCGATTCATATTCGCAGGAATACTAATTGCTTTACATACACAGACAGAGAAAGAGAGAGAGAAATGAAGTTGTACGAATGCTTTTCATCTCATTTTTGATCGAAAAATATCATGCAAATTCAAAGCAAATGATGCAGAATACGATGAATGCAATTCTTAAAGGAGCGAAAGAAAAGTAGAAAAGAAAGAGCGGAGAGAGCGGAGAGAGAGTGTGTGTGTGTATAGACAATGAATGCGAGGAAAAGATAGAGAGAAAGAATACAACAAAAATGGGAAAATGTACTAAAAGCAATCTGAAATGTAATCCATTCGTTCTCATCGTCAGACAAAACAAAATTCATTTTCATAATGAATTTAATACTTCGACAGCCACACAGTTATGTATGCATAAAGCATTTTGTGCTTGTGTGTGGTAGCATTAATTGGTACTTTTGTTCGTCTCAGCGCTTCGCGTTTTGTTGCTATACCGCAAATGCATGTGACATTCATTTTTGGTTGAAATTTCATTGCCGTTTCATTAAAAATATATGCACCAAAAGTGAATTTTTCGTGATAAATTTCGTCTCATAATTTTGGTGCAAAGGGATGGAAGCAGATACATAAAAAGGACCATGACGAATATAACGCGGATAACAATAACGAGAAACGATGAATTGTCTAAAGAAGAATGAATAACGGAATTCACTTTGCCATTGCGAATTGCGTAACGGTACAATGAATTGCATCACCGTATAAATAAAGAAGAATAACTCATGCAATCATTGCATTTGATTTACAGATGGTTGAACATTTGAGAAATAGTGTTCCAGTTGCAATATTTCGATTGTATTGGTGTTCATACCTCCAAACCACCCTTTCTCTCTGTACTAATCTAACTATCTACTTCTAATGAGCAAAAAAAAAACAGTGATACGACGCAACGTCAAGTGGATGCATTGGCCCCAAACAAACTAACTTCACCTAATTCGAGCAGCGCATACTTCCAACGTTAATGACATATACGTCGTATTTTTGTTGTTGTTGCTCGATCTCACTTCGTTTTAGCCAACCACTTACTTGAATTTTTTCTGTATTCCTTTCAGAGAAGAGAAAAACAAAGCAGAAAAATAAACCACAATCTATTTGGTTCGGTTTGGTTTGGCGAGCGCGCATCCTGTGCATTTTACCATGAAAATTTCGATAGGATTGTAATGTATTCCGACTTTGGTTTTTCTTCTTCATTCTTCGCGCGATTTTATTTCTTCTATTCCTTTTGCCTCTTGTTCTTCACATTCTTCCGACGTAAATTTATTGCGGATAAAATGTTTTGGAAGATGGTTTTCGAACGAGATTAATGAGTATTTATATAAACAACGCGTTGAAAGAGTCCTTTTTTTGCCTAAAATTCAAAATACAGCAAAACAAATCCCGACATGACAATTATTTTCACCGCTTATTATTTCGATTTTTGAACTTCCGTCCGATGATTTTGACGGCATCTTTGGAAAAGTTGAATAAATTGAAAATTCGATGGGGAAAATTGTTGAAAATCAAATAGAACATGGCATGCCACAGTCGGAATTGGGCGAATGCGATATAAACGAAAGAAGAACTAATTTACGATGCAAAAACACATTTTCCGTTCAATTCCATTTGTGAAAAGTGTGTAAATGTGCTCAGGTCAGTCGAATCGACCGCTTGTTTCGATGTGGGATTCAAACCGGATATTATTCCTAATTAATTAACTGAAATATCTGCCTATATATTGAATTCGATTTCCGGGGTTTCTTCCATTTTCGTCTCCTTCGTCTAAAATTACAAAACGAATACTTTGCGTACGGCACATATATATTTGCCATTGAACATTCGCGCGATTAACTGTTTTTTTTTATTTTCCTCTTTGCCTTAACGTTCTCGGAATCCTCCAGCACTCGAAATGTTGTGTGCTTTTCTTTTTTCCAATGCGAAAGAATGGCACATAAAGCAAAAAAAAAACGGGAAAGAGAGAAAAAATAGACACTTGGACTTGAATGCTTTTACACTTTATTACGGTCATTCGTTTTGTGTATATTTGATTTTTAATGAAACAGAAAGTCAGTTGAACCTTGTCAATTGCTCTTAAATGTAAATTTAATACTAACCTTTCGGGAGAACATCGCTCATTGCCCGTCCGAATGCAGTATAATTGTACGGTATTGTGTGATACAATGTGATACACACGCACACAACCGTTCATTCTCTCATCAAGATTGTCATCTACTTAAAGTCGAAGTTATCTGTTCTATCGGACGTGCGTTCCATGCATACAATCAAATCACAGTTACAAACGCAGTTCGTTCGCTTTCGGTTGATAGCTTTCGGCTGACAAATAGCACAAATGTCTGCTGTTTGCTTTTGTTGTCGACTGAAGCATTGATCAATTTCATTGTCTTCATCGCTTTTATTTGACATCTACAAACACAATCTGTGACAAGGAAAGAGAACAAAACGATAGAAGAGGAAGAGAGCTAGCGGGCGGACAAATGACATTTATTTTATCCGCCAGATAAATGTCAAAATGGTGATGCCTTTTCGTGTGTTAAATACTGATCAAAGGGTTAATTTCTCATTATTGACAGTAAATCAGCGGCAATGTTGTTTACAGTTTAACATCGAATGAAAACGCCTTTTTTGCTCCGTTCTCTTCCTTTCATTCTTTCGCTCGCACAATTCACCGTTCAATCCTTATTCGGTCGTTCGTTCATTCATTCATTCATTGGTTTGTCTACTCATCTCTCATCGTTTTGTTTCATTGTGTTTTCTTATCAGATATGCCAGTGGTAACGTTGAAAATGGGACCGTCACTTAACCCGGATGATATTAAAGAAGGCGATGGCGTTTATTTTGAATGCACCGTACGATCGAACCCGAAACCATACAAAATGGCGTGGTATCATGATGTAAGTAATAGCTTTTTTTCTTTCTACACACACACACACACCAAATATACATTTATTTCAGCATTTCAAATGGAAGCCCCTACACCAAGAATATAAATTAGCTCGGTTAAGGGAACGTGAGTGAGAACCGAGGCTTTTTGTTTTCACACAGACGCACGCGCCAAGTGTGGGAGTGATAGCTTTTGTTGAAAGGCTTTTTGATTTTTTGTGTATGTTCTCGCCGCGCTGTTATTGTTGTTGTTTCACATCCAAGATCCGATACCCGGCAAGAGATATTCAATTGCCGATATCAATGTGTTGCGATGTAATAAGATAGGCGTTAATTAAATATGAACAATTCACATGATTCAACATTGAGGCCGCACTCTTTCGTCGGTGCTATACACGGGATCGAAATTACGATGGATAGTGATATCGGAGATAATCAGCCTGACACACACACACACTCTCTCGTATCGTTCAAGTAGTATTATTATATTTTCGGTTTTGTTCGGAGTTTTAATTTCAGTCAAAAATAATGAGGGATAACATATCCGTTCTGTTTCGTGCAGCATAATATAATTCCACAACTTGTCAAAATAATAGAACGATTCCTTGAGAAATCAGGTTAAAGTAGCAAGGAAAACATCGGGTTTTTTTTGTTTAAATTCGTGTTAAACAAGCTGTCATCTTTCGTTCCGTTCTGTTCTGAACTTATAGACGGTAAAAGTGCTTGAAAATCGTAAAGTTGATGTTTTACAACCGCGCAGAGAGTGAGGGACGACATAAAAAATCTGTTGTCGTCTTTTTTTTCTTGTCTATCTATGTCAGCCACAATATTCATTAAAATAAACGACTGAACAACTCAATTTGTCCGTCATTTATTGGGAATGTGCATCTGTTTCACGGTTCGGCTCACACTTTGGCCATCAATGAATTCGCGTGAATGCCGTTTGCGTCGTGTACACCCGGACACCATGAAATGCAGTCATAAAAGTCTCCTGTCTTCCATATCGTACGCATTGACAAGCCATGCATGAAGTGAACTCAACGAGTCGAGTCTCGATGCTGCAAACATACACAACATTGTTGCTAAATATGTCTTGGCACACGTATATAGTAGTCGGAAAAACGACCGAAATGACAAGAGAAATCGAATACACAATGAAGAAGCAACAATCAAATAAATCGACAAATAAATGGCTTCCACGATATCAAGTTGTTTTTTTTTTCATCCTATCTTTCCTTTTTTATCGCACGCCGTTGTTTCCCTTTTTCGCGACGCTGCTGCAAAAAAGAAAATCAAAATGTTCGTTCAATATTTTTGTAAGAATGATGCTTTTCTCTCGTTTCTTTGTTCTTTCTACTTCCGACGTGTGTTCGTCTCTATACTCGCCCGTTTTTTCGCCGTGACAAGGAGCTGTGTAGCTTGCTTTTGCGTATATATACATTCAACGTACTTCGTTTATGATAGAATATTTCTTTTATATTCCCCCATTTGCTCATATGTCATTGTGTCGTCTCACATTTGTCCTGTTCCATTCGATGGTTTGCAAAGACAAAACAACGCGCAGCACCAAAGTAAAAGAGACGAAGAAACAACAGCAACAACAACTACTAGAAACTTGGAACACACACCAGACACACAGAGAGAGATAGAGATAGAGATAGAGATAGAGAGAGAGAGAGAGAGAGAGAGAGAGAGAGAGAGAGAGTGAGTGAGTGAGCGGAAAGAAGAAATGAAACAAATTGGCAACACAAACTAGTTTTATTTCAATAATATGAACAAACGATCACACACGGCACTTGTGTGTGGTTACACGATTCGTCATGTGAAATCGAATAATATAAAACAATTCGGAATAGAGGCACAGCAACTACGCTCAAATGAAAAGAAGCTGAAAAAAATGAGAAGAATCTGAGGAAAAATGAAGCAAGAAAAAAACAACAAAGACGTCATTATTGCTATTTTACATTTAGAGAAAGAAGTCGAACGACTCGTGGAGCCAATTCAATTCAAGCATATAACATGGTGTGTAAAGTGCCCAATATAAACCGAAATGTGTGTATGTATTCCACTGTGTTCCAATGTTTTCATTCAGCACCATATTTTTCTTGAAATCGCTCTCCGTGACGCCTCTGTTTGCGAACGATGAAGAGCAAACGAGAAAAAGCTTCGCTTCGCTCCGCTCTTGAATTTTTAGTTACTTAATCTATTTTGTTGTTTCACAACAAACTATTTTTTGGCGCACTACATGAAATGTATTTCATCAAAGTCACTTTGAAGTAATATATTTATTTGCAAAATGAATTACAAGATCTTGGTTTTATTTCTTTTTTGAAATATACTGCCTTTGGTTTGAATTAAATGAATAATATGAGCATAAAATTCAAATTCACCATAATTTGTTTCATCACTCAAAAAGTATTACGAAAAAAAGCAGATTAGTAGCTCTACATTTCATGTAGTGCTAAAAATGTATGAGCTCATACATGCCAAACGAGCGATAAATCGATGGAAAAAGGAATATTTATAGCTAATAAAAAAGAAGTAGAATAAGAAAGAAAAAAAGTAAAACGAGAGCGCCTTGTATCGGAGTGCGCGCGAGCGCGCCAACACAAACGCTTCGGTAAATTTTTCTATCTATGCGCTCGATTGTGCGAACAAAACCAAGTGATGCCATTCTGTTTGTTGTTGTTGTTTCGCTCAAATTGGCCTTCGCTTCGACTTCCTGGCCGATTCAGCAAATCTTATTGGGGATCCATGTTTTGTGTTTTCCATAAGAAAATTTATAGTTGTGCTTTTAAGTGTTGCTGTATGTAACTCATTCTTCGATTGCTGTTGATTCCACTCCTTTTTCCTGATTTTCTGTATATCGGTATAGGAGAATGCGTGTAATTGACGGGTGGGGATGGTGGATCTAACATTTTCTCCCTTCGTCACCGATTCTTCTTGTCTCTTATCTCCGGCTATTCGGCGTACATGTATTTGATGTTGTCTGTTTTTTTCCTCTTTGCACGCGCTCCTTTTGATAAATCAATTTGTTCATTTCATGCTAGACAAATTTGCAAAACTGATGGTAGTGGTTGACGATGATGTCACAAAAAATCCATTATCGTTTCGATTTAATGTGAATGAGCGGGTGCGCTTATGCCATTTCTTTCAATGATTTCAATATTTCACGCGATATGCCTCTCTCACTCTCATGTACTCCCAATCTCTGCGTATGTCTGTTGTGCAATTGATGATTTCATTTGATGCCCCGCGTGAGCGCTCTCCGTTTTCCAACCGTACATAAAATTATAGATGTTTTATTTGCAAGAGTAACAATTGCACTGACATGCAATCGCAACACAATTTATTTCGTCGTTCTGGCTATGCAACGCAATGATATACTGTTATGTGTGTAACGCGAAACGACCATCGAACAGCACAGCATTTATATGTCTTTCTTTTTCTACATCGTAACGTTAGTTAATTTATCGATGAAGCTTAGTTCATTGAAAAGTACAGATCATTGCAGTTATTCAAAAGTTTGAGTTTTCGAGAGATGAAGGGATCTCTTGAATCTGAAGTTTGGACATTGGCTGCTGGTACACTCTGCACTATGACATGCGAAAATTTTCTAAGAAGCAACTACAACCACCATCACCACCGCCACCATCAGTAGCAGCAGCAACAGCAGCAAGAGAATAAAAATCGATGCTGAAGCGAAATAAATTTTGATAAACAGATACAATCGCACTACGATCCGTTTCGCTAGTTTTGTGCAATTGGTTTTCATCGTAAAAAAGGGAGAAAAATAGCAATGAATAGAACATATTTTATTCAATCTCGTTTTATATCCCTTAACACATACCATAATGTTTGCTTTTATCTTTTATAGCGTTGAGCCATCCTTTTGGCTCTCTCTCACTCACTCACTCTCCTGTTGCGGGGCCCCTCCATTCCAATTTTGTTGTTTCGTTTTATTTTATTTTTATCTGAAACCAACATTGTTCTCAATTTATCCCATTTTATATCATGATAAGCAAGTAATACATATAACGTGTGCCTGACTCTCTCTCTCTCTCTCTCTCTCTCTCTCTCTCTCATACTACATTTTTCTTATTTTCTTCTTTTTCTCTTCTCTTTTTCATGCGAAATCATACGGTGGCAAAATGGATACACACACAGGGCGTCGAATTGCATCAGAATGTTACAGCTGGAATAATATTAACAGATCAATCTCTTGTGCTTCAAAGTGTGACAAGAGCATCGGCAGGTGATTACACATGTCTCGCTGCAAATACCGAAGGAAAAGGAACCAGCAATCCAGTCACATTACGTGTTCGATGTAAGTAGCAAGTTAACAAACGTACATATGGTCTCGCTTTTGAATCTTTTGTTGTGAACGAATGAAAAATGAAAAAAATAAAAAAATAAATTGCATTTCTTTTTTCATACTCATACACAAATATATCGATGTATACAGTCAGTCAGTCAGTCAGTCGTCGGAATGAGATTTCTCATCTTTATGCCTTTTTCTACCTTAGTTCATTCGATTTTGAGAGCAGAGAGTTCAGTACAATCAGTAGAAACGTGAAAAATGAATTGACAAATCCGTGAATATGTTCTCCCCGTAAATATGGCAAACGATTGAAATTCGACAGAATGAACGAAGAGAGAGAGAGAGAGAAAGAGAGAGAATCCTCTATGCGACTCTTTCGCACACGCCATCCCATCGCAATGACTGGCAATGAATTCGATTTGGCAACAGACTACATTGCTTCAATTTTATCGACAAAATATGCGTGGAATGTGGACAATGTAGATTCGCTGTGGAATGGCAATCACGAGCACCGTAATAAATATGCATCTCATCGACAATCTCAAATTACTATGTTAAACGTAACAATATTCGTGGAATATGTGAAGTGTTTTAAAGATTGCACATTTGTAACATTTCACTTCGTTTGCATATGTGTATGTGTGTGTGTGCTCTCAGTGGCAATGTGGACCCACCGTTCAACATGTGCTGGGCATTTAGTATTCAGCTAATACAGTCGATAAATGCATGGTTATGTCTGAGAGACACATACACACACAAAGAGAAAAAGGAAGCAAAAAAAGTCGATAAAAAATCTCTCGAAAAGTGCGAAAGCACGATATGGCATTTTTTTTCTTGCCGGGATCAAACTGTGTGAAAGTGGCAGTGAGATAGTGTGATACAATGTGCGATAACGTCCCGAATCTTGAGGCGAGACGGCTTGTTCGAACAATATATCACACTGTATCAATTGCTATTTCCATACAATTCGATCCATGGGGTGGAACGCAAGAGGAAAAAAAGAATGAAAATCGTTGCTATTCGGGAGGGATGGGGGCTGCTATGGGAACATTCTTATCCGTCTTGACTTCGCAATTGTACACATTTTTCATCGACATTTCGTAGTCTTTGATTAGAATTCGATTGCACTCTGCGGAGCAAAAATTCCCATTCAAACATGGCAACATGATTGCTTAACCAACAAAACGTTATTCGATGAAATCAACTATTTGAACATGTTCGCCTCCATTTTCCTTCGAATCGCTCTGCAATTTTTGCCAGAGAAATTATTAAATCTTTTCCTCTGTTCGCATTCCGCTGGGAGATAGAGAGAGAGAGAGAGAGAGAGAGAGAGAGAGAGAGCGGATAATTTGGATGCATATCAATCTTAGAATGTCATGTAATTTCAATGAGCCACTCAAATTGTTTCAATCATGTTGGAAATATGGAATTTATTACGGTGATTTGCTAATCCGAGTGCGAAAAAAGGGGTTCAACCGTTGGTTTCAGGCTCGGCGAGAGGGAATGGAGAGTAATGTGTGTATGCGAGGAAATACAAAATGAACTGCATTGTTGTAAACTAAGTACTGTGAGGTAATAATGCGCTTAACGCTCTCTAGCGCATGCTATTTCCGGTTTTGATTGGAATTTTCAAGCAAATCACACTCCATGGTACAACATCACATATATTTTAAACAGGAACAATATCAGAAATCTGTGGTTTTCGTTCATCTATAAAATGCTGGAGCCATTGCTATGGCGAATGCTACTTTTGCGCCAGTGAAGTGCTAGTTTGCGTGCATGAGCCTGTACACTGTACAGTGTATAGTGAGCTTTTCAGCTATATGAGTCTGCTGCATAAATGACTGCAATAATGACATCGTTGCCGAATGTTGGAACCTTCACTCATTTTGTGCTCCCAAAAATGAGAGTGAAATTACAGTGGTAACCATTAAAAAGTGCTCACTCTCTCTCCGTGCCGCATACACAGCACTACGGATTGCAAGACAGAGAGTGTTTATCAAATGGTGCCTCGCACACGATGAAATACAATCTTGTTGATTTATTTTTGCACATCAAATTACTGTTTTACGGTCGATTGTTCCACCAAAACTGCAGTTTTAAGTCTTTTAAGAGTCTTTGACAGTACATGCGACAATTTCCAAAGTATTAAGTGGTGATGCCATTACAATGGAAATAAAATGGCAATTTTCGGTTTGTCCGCTTCACATAACAAATCACATAGACGTTGTTCGATGTCGTCGCAGTAGCAGCAACATTACCATTTTTCCATGGGCACACACTAGGAGCTGCTTCCAGTAGAGACTGTGAATATTGTGTCGAATTTTCACCTCGTTTCAAATTCGTTCATCTGTTTGAAAGACGCAAAATTATAGCCACAAAGAATCTATATTTCGAAGCCGATGACATTAATTTAAATACGGGGAATATAAATTTCTGGTCCAAAAAAGTGGTTGGTTAAAAGCATAGACCATTGCAGTATTATTCGGTATTCTTCGGTTCGACCGACACTGCAGCAAAGCAGCAGCACTACTGCAAATAGAATAATGGGGGAGAGGGGGTTACTATAGGCCGCCTTTCGTTTAGTCGGTTGAAAATGAACGGCAACTTGAAAAACTTGTCCAACCAAAAAAAGAAAGTATAAATGTACTGTATATGTGTGTATAATACTGCTCACTTGATTATTCATTTTCTTAAGTAAAACATTTTTGCCCGCATATTTGTACGTAAATGTAATTAAATATTTAATAGGATTCAGAAAGATTTTTGTGTGATTTTCGTGGACTTTGTTTCACCTTCTATAAATCAACATAACGGAAAAAAGTTTTCTTTGCCATGATTCACTTTTTGTCATAAGTTCCGACTTTTCCGAACGGGCCAAACCATAAGCATAACGAGCCCAAGTGTTCCACACAAAATGAAAATGCGACGAAAAGAGAAAGAGAGAGAGAGATAGAAAGAGTGTGAGCATGCGGACGAATGGGAATTGTTTTGCTTGTTTTAGAGCAAACTTTTTCATCTCTCAACAGTGTGTGTTTTTCTCTCTCACACACACACACACACACACACACACTAATTTTTCGTATTGGGTAGATATTTCGCGAACAATTTATTAACTGGCATGTAACAACTAACGAAATGTCTATATATTTATTCGCAGACACACTTGAAATGCTCTCCAGAAAACGAAGTTTCAATATTCAAGTCTGCATTGCAATTATTATTTATTGCTTCCAAATTTCTTTTGATCGCTTACTTGTGAATTAATAGAAAAATTTTCCATTACATTTTATCAAATATTAAAAGAAAGTTCAACTTATATTTTCTCTTTTCGCTATTGCATTTCGCTATCGTTCGTACCATTTCTCATGCATTTTCTCGCTCAGTCGTTCACTTTACTTTCGACATTTTCACGTTACTTTACCTATATTTTCATCTTGTTCTTTTTATTTTCATCATTGCAGATGCACCGGTTTGTGGTTCAACTCACGAAGAGTTGTTGGGCGCACTTAAGCACGAAACACTCACACTAAAATGTGAAGTTGACGCTTCACCACCAGCCGACTCATTCCATTGGACATTCAATTCATCCGGCGAACCAACGGATCTTCCAGCAAGACTGCATTCAAGCGAGGTTTGACCTATCGTCTCTTTCCTTTTTGTATTTTATTTCATTATCAACGAGAAAAGAAAAGGGATGAAAAAAAAAATTATATATTTACAGTGCAAATTTGAAACGAACAAGATTCTTGTTCAGTTTTCTGTATAAATTCTTGCAATATTTTGTCACGTCTTATGATTTCATTTCTCTTTCTCTCTTTTCTCCTTAATGCTATGATTACAGACGGGATTTTCACGTTTAAATTATACACCAACCAATGACCTAGATTATGGTACGATATCTTGTTGGGGACGCAATGCAATCGGGCTGCAGAAATCGCCGTGCATATTTCAAATTGTTGCTGCAGGTAAATTATACGTCCAATTCAGTTTAATCAGCAGTATTTTTTGTCGTTGCTTCCTTTCTACCTCGTTTCGCTACGTTTATTTAATATGTTTCGTTTTATATCCAATTTGAATTGCATTTCACGATCTACGCTTCGACAAAATAAATAGAAATCTCCCTCATAGATGATTCAGTAGTTGAAATGGTGATGATTTTATTCGAGTTTCTGACAAATACGGTTGGCTATGTTCCAGCAACAACAACAAAAAGAATGTAGATAAGCTTATTTTGTCATTCGGAATGATTTTTCATGCGTTTTACTTTTTCTTCCGGGCTGGAAGTAGTAGTCATTCCACCAAAATCGTTCGAAATTATTATTTTCGTACATAAGACCATATTGGAGTGAAAGAGAGAGATTCCACTATTTTTCAGCGTGCCACCTGAATTATTCCTCACACAATCCACTCTTCCTTAAGTTATCGGAATAATTCCGGTGGCTCGCTGAAAAATAGTGGAATCGCTCTCTTTCACTCCAATATGGTCTTATGTACGAAAAAAAATAATTCCGAACGATTTTGGTGGAATGACTTAGAATTCCAGCCCCGATTGATATGCTCTTGAGAGTTTATGTTTCTCATAAACAAAATTGAGATCAAATTTGTGAACTTATTTCTATGGAATTCATTTTAAGATATAATTTTTACATCCCGCTGAATGTGTACCCTTTTACAGAGTGCTTTAGTTGCAGTCAAAAATGAGAGGGAACTTGTGACTGAGTGAAAAAAGGCAGTTGATTAGAGGTGTCATACAGTTGTTTTCGGTCTGATTGTTGTATTTTGTTAGGAAGTTCGTTGTTTGTTGAGCGTGTTTCATCGTCTTTGAAATAGTGTTTCATCGCATATAGTGTTTTGTGTGTGTGTGTGTGTGTGTATGTGGTCTATATACACTGCATAAGTATGTGCGAAAGATGAAACTTTGCCGACCGCAGTATTATGTTTTCTACCAGTTGTCGTAGTGTATTCATTATGCCCTGTCTCAGTTTTTTGAACGCGATGCAAACAAAAGGTAAGTATAGCATAGCCAAAACAAATGGCAAAAGCACAATGCACTAACATATACAGGTCTTGAGCATGGGGCAAATCTTGGCGCTTGAGAAACTCTTTATAAACTACAAGAAAAACGTAGATTTTGATTGTTGAGCACACATGTTAACTTAACTAACCATAAATTATCGAAATTTTCATCTTTTTCGCTCGCCTTCATTATGTGCCGTTGCCTTTTGTGCAAATGCGAATATACGTGTGCAATAGCAGCATTTGAATATTGTTTGTATTCCCGAGATATTGTGCGAGAGAAAACACGAGTCCGATAATGAGAATTTTGAATGAAGCATTTTGAAACCGTCTCTCTCTCTCTCTCTCTCTCTCTCTCTCACACACACACACAAACACATATGTGTTCACACGCAGACACAACCACAGACACACGACGTCAGCAAGAATGTTACAATTCGCTTCGATACACTGATGCTTACGAGCCAAAACAGCAAAATGGAATAACTTGGAAATGTCTTTGCGATTTGTACATGCAATGGGCCTGTTGTTTGCACTCGGTTGTTATTGTTGTTATTGTTGTTTCTGTTGCTATTATTATTTTTCTCTCTCGTTCTCCTGATCGGGTCTCACTTCCGCACCGATTCGGTCTGGGGTTGTGCTGTTGCCATTGTTGGTGTCGGTGTCGGTGTGCTCGGAACGGAACAAGTTTCTGAACTTCGTCGTTCATTGGCGATGTGTGGCATTTTCGAACGTATTTGCCGGTATACACAACCGACAGCAGCATTTTCTTGTACAACAAAATTGTATTTATATTGCTCTATAAAGTGCACACGGGCACCGCTGGTACTCCTCTAAGTATTCGCATTTATTATTATCTTTCATTATGCCATGCATAGTTTATTTTCGGCCACTTACACCGTTCCCGCTGTACATACAAATACACACTCGACTCGGCTTTCGTAAGCTTTTCTACTTTTTAGACTACTTAGAATCCATTCACTCTTATTCGCTCACTTTTCTAGCTCTTGCTCCTTCTCTCTATCTTCGTCGTGCGGCATGTTATTTTGGGCCTGTTGCAATGTTTTTATGTAGTGACATAATAAGGAAAATTACAAACGTGCGAGACAGTAATGGTTGAACGTTGAAAAATATCAAGAGCCTCGAACGGCTCTACATATGGCGGCTGTCGTAAGGTGAATGCAGAATGGTGGATAAATATACCGTTACGGTCGTTTCTTCAATTTGTGTGAGCGTTTGTATGTGAGTTTGCGAGTGAAGGAAGAAAAAAATTGTTTTTTTTTTCCTCTTCTTCCTTTTACTTTGCCTCTTGTGTTATGAAATTCAAAAGCCTTTCATTTTTTTCCACTTTTGTTGTGATCCTTTCTTCCACTTCATCTTTTCCCTTTTCATAACTTCGTTCCATTTTCCGTCATTTTTATTTGCCGCTTTTGTTGTTTGTGTAATTTCGCCCTATCTACAAAAGTATTTAGAATATTTTTTTTGCTCACTCTCTCTCCCGCTCTCAATCACTCACTCCGGATTGCTTCTGTGCGCGTGTAACGCAAACCAGGAGGAGGTTGTGTGTTGGTTCTCGGTTCTTGTTATTTCGCAATGGTTTGTGTCTTACTACGGAAAAGGAGAGTTCATTATTCGGCGGACATAAAGTCAACGATGAAAAATGCACGGTTGTTGATTCAGGATCTCATTACGGTGTCTTATAAGTAAAGAGTGGGTGAGAGTGAGAGAGAAAAAGAGCGTGCGCTTACAGAAGAAAAAATGTGAATGAAATGTTTATTATAATAGAGTTTATTTTACATGCCGAAACTTTGAAAAATACGGTTCATGGTAGTACGTTTTCCATTGCTTGGCGACGACAACGACGACGGTGGTGGAGGAGAAACGCATATTGGATGGCATAGCAGTATGAGGAATGTCAAGAAGTAGACATAAATGGGAACGCGTGGGCACACAATCTAGGAAATAAAGTTAATAAATTTAGAAAAAATTACGAAATGATTAAAACGCACAAGTGAGGCGAGATGCGAGAGAAGAGTGGTTGGTATGCGTTTGTGGCCATTTGAAATGAACGATGTCTGAACGAATGGTCCTCGGTATGGGTATATGCGTGTGTGCGTATTTGGTGCGTTTGTCGTGTGGATTTTTTTTTATCGCACATAATTCGTTTTACAACTTTTTCTCGTTAAATTTTCCCTCCTCAATTTGAGGTCGTCGCCGTAATTTAATTTCACCAGATATGTCCCATTCATTTTTGCATAGCGATGTGAAAGTGAATGGGAAAGAGAAGAATCTTTCCGGCCAAAAAAAAGGTTCCATTTATTTTAATGTTATCGACATAAAAGTTACCTCTAGTTCCCACAAAACAATGACACTGACAACGTCTATATTTAATTTATCGCTTAATTTTTTCCCCTAACCAGCCTCTACTTTATTGTCGTTAGTTTTCACTTTACGCAGGATGTCTCGTTCTTTTTTTTTAACCATATTGCTTTCGCATCTAATTATCCTATATATTTGTATTTTCAGGTCGGCCGTTCCCATTGCAGAACTGTTCCGTGTCAAATCAGTCTAGCGATTCGCTACAAGTGGAATGCGAACCAGGTTTCGATGGTGGTTTACCACAACAATTTCTGTTGGAATTAGTTGAGATGCCAGCATTAAGACTGGCTAGAAACTTAAGTTTACAGGTGAGTGCGGTGATCTGTGTGATACACACGCTTTTTGTTTCTGTTTCGTATTCTCTCACTCGCTTTTCAGCACCGTTTCCCTGTATAATATGTTGTGACTGCGTTGTAAATCCATTTCTTTACCGGTGGTGGTGATGGTGGTGGTGGTAATGGTGTTGTGCGTTTGATTGTGTACAACGGAATTGGATGCACCATACTGTATATATGTGTGTGTGTGTTTGTGCACCAGCACAACACCCAACATGGATAATTCGTTCGGAGCTCAAAAGAATCGGGACGGTTATACCGCTTCAAATTGAAATAGTACTTAAAAGTTCTATTAAAACTTTGCACTTGCTTTAAATAATTCAGTTTTAACCGCACTTAGAAGCGGTGCAGACACTAGAAAATTCCCTTAAATGAAGATTGAAGCGGAAGAAAAAGCAGAACAACATATATATACATACAGAGAGAGAGAGAGAGAGAGAGAGAGAGAAAGAATCATGGCAAAAATGAATAAAAACAACGTATTGAAAAGTGGAACATGATCACCATGTTTTACCTTCCCTATACGGTGTATCGTGTGCACAAAAGCAATCCATCAACCGATTTCAGTGCATCAAAGTAATTCAAACCGAGAAAAAATGTTGTCGCAGTTGAGTGCTATGCGACACAGTCTGCCAGCAAGTGAACATTTAGACATCTTCCGTCGAAATAGCAATGCATTTATACGATTTTGTGTGAACATTTTCCTCCGTAAATTCTTTTGCATTTATGGAGATTTAACATCAGTCCAGCCACATTGACGACAATCATTATTATATTCAATTACAATTTACTGTCGGATTATAATGGAAATGGTTTTCGATCCCCCGCATAGAAAATTCCATCTCGAACACACATGATCGCCCATCCAATCATCCTAAACGAAACAACAATGCACCGCCGTCTCTCGCGTTCGATTTGAATTGTACAATTTTGTAACAGTGATTGTCCAAAGACAGTGAGTGACACAGTCACAGTGAATGAGGTCTTTGGTATATTTATCTAAATAAATTATTTGATATGTATTTGCATATTTGTAAAGCATTCACCATGTGATATGTACAGTGTATAACGTATATTGTACGCTGTACTATCACCACATGACCGGGAAACGTTGACATTTCCTCCAATTTATTCGAGAAAAAGTCTCAGCACTTCCTCATCATAGGGATTGTGATTCGAAATGTTAATTTAGAAGAAAAAATATACACGCTCTGCAGAAGAGTTCGTTCAAGACTGACAAGTACTGAAATGATAGATCTGTTGACACTGCATTGCAATATTGCGTCTGTGCACGTACATTGTACACACATTCAAGTTGGCAAATTTGAAATCAAGCTCGCAAGCAGTTTACATATTTTAATCGTCGATTACTTGATTCCATATGGTAAAATGCGACTTATGAAGACTCTGTCCAGAAAATGCAAACAAATGTGTGGACTCATTTATGGGTTATCGTTTGCATAGATACTTTCAAAGCAGTTTTCTACTTCCGATCGTTTGGTCCTGATTTCATGATTCGAATTTGAATTGCTTAGTAGTCTTCGGATTTTGATATCATTTGGCTTAACATAGTTTTGCCCAGAGCGTTTAAATTCCATCATAGCTAGGACAGAATGTCAGGAAGACCGAGGTTGGTTGGTAGACACATTTTGAATGCTTCAAACTCTAATACATACATACACACACACACACACACACCACACCAGAATATATTGTGTGCAAACGTTCGATGGCATTGGATTTAAAATGGCTAAGAGGCTTTAAATATTGCTATTATACAATTATTGAATTAATAAATGTATACCATTTGGTTGTGTATATGAACTTCGAGCAATAATACACGCATACAATACCACCATATATTTTGTCAATGGAATGACAAAGAGCCGCCCGTTATATAAATGGCCTAGTCTATGTGCAAATGATTAACATAGCTAAGCCCCGAATGGTAACGAGAGAACGGGAAATTGCCATACACAAACGGGCAACATTACCACCACCGAAAACAACAACAACATCAACGATATCACAAGCACACGCACATGCACACGCACACGCACACACACATGCACATACCGAGAAATTACGTCGTTTTACAACGGAACATCCGCCGCAAGGCTTCAAGATTGTCGCATAAACGATAAGCTTTATTGCGTTTATTATATGAATACATCAAAATTAAAAACACTTTGTTGCTACTGAAGCTGATGGAAATTCGATAAAATGAATCGTTTATTTTGCAATAGATATCCAATCTATCGACCCACGATTTTCCATTGTGATTACGCTCCAAATCTAAACACCATAAATCCGTTGAATTTGAATATTGCCGATTATAGTTCAATTACTATGTCGTGTATATTTTACCGATTTAAATGGACAATATGCCCAAATATGCCCATCACTTTAAGTGCGCAAATCCAACGCTTAAATCATCAATTTCGTAAATGTTTCACACGAGGCACAAACACTCATTTTTCAATTGAAAATATCAAATGAATTGTTTGCAAATGCTTTTACTTCAATCAAATCGTTTGATGAAACCAGTTCCAATTTGTTTCAAATTTTAACGCTCAATCCATCTTGTGCGACTCCATAGTAGCCAGTTAGCTTCGAATGTAGCAATGGATTTGTATATCGGGAATTAGTTCAATTACTTATTCGCAGGCATTTCAATTTCGTAATGTTGTGCTGCCCTACAAAACAAATTCCCATTTCAATTTTGTCTTCGTTTTACTTACCTTTTTTTTTCCTGTACTATATAAGCGGTGCAATTGTATCATGGACGGAAATCTAACCGAAATATCTTCTTTTTTGTTTTATAAAACTTTTCAGCGTTCGCCTGTTGCGTTCTACATTGATAATCTTGAACCAGGAAGCTCTTATCGCATCATTTTATTTGCCGTAAATGCAAAAGGACGTTCAGAGCCGACCATAATTGATGATATTACATTCAAGGGTGTAGCCAAATATACAGGTAAGTTATGAATCAATAGCCCAAACCATTCTCTCCCACTCTCTACATTTAATCACCATCATCATTTCTCATTTCCACCGAAAAATACACATTGTTATGCCATTGAAGCTCAGACAAACCATTTTTCATATGTCATTTGCTTTACTGTATTCCAAAATTGGGATTTTATTTGATTACGTTCGCTGGTGTAATCAGTGCGACCGCCTGGATGTGTCGCACTCCACTGCGACAATATACGTCGTTCAATGAATGAAAGTTGATTATTGAAATAAGAGATACCCAAACACAATGTAATACTATATACTTTAATTAACACAAATCGACCATCACGACTAAGGAAACGCATTTTCTAGAGGGGCGAGGAAACAGCACAGTAGTCATATTTCCAGGTTATTCATTGAATTGAAATTAAGTTGGTGTCACACACACAGCTTGATTACCGTTCCATCTAGAATGACAACTACGAATTGAATGAATGCCACCTTAAAAAGACATTTAATATTTAAATGGTGACCAGTTTCAAAAGCTTCACTTTGGTTCAATGCTGCGTCTTATGTTGTTGTTGTAAAAATGTTATTGGATCAGTATTTTATTTTATTTATCGTTGTTCAAAGTCTTCGTAATTATCAAATGAGCGGTAAAACGGATTACTTTGAATATATAACCGTAAAATGAATTTCGCAAAAATGAGTAACCAGGAACATGAATATTTTATACGTTAAAAATGCAAGAAAACCCAAGTCTAAGTACTGTTTTCTTCCTTCGAAATGACCTGAACTTCCGCACTTCAATCGATATTTGAATACTACCGATTTTTCTCATGGAAAATTTAATCAACATAGTGTGGCTGTTCGCCATGAATTACATCCGATGTTGAAACAGCGATTCGATCGTCTTTTTCGCCCGTTGCATGGTGTATGTGTATTTCTGTGGGAGTGATTGTCATCCATACACAGCGAATGAATGAATGAATAAAAAAAAACAATGTGCAAATAAAGTTGATGGCACGCTGAGCGAGCGTATACGATACACGTATCAAACTATAACTTAATTCAATTTAAAATTTCTACGTAAATATCTTTTCGCCAGCGCTAAAATCACATTGTAAAAGTCGTTGCCGTCACCGTCGTTGATAAAATACATGCGGAGAGGATAGGTAAAAATGATTTAAAGAACGGTCGAAAATGGTTTTGCAGCGAACGCACGAATGGAAGAGGAAAACGCGGAGTGCTCATCACATGGACTCGTGCGCATACATACATAACCCTTTCTCGAAAGTCAACACATAAAATGCGGCGAATCTACCGAAATGATTTTTATATGCCAATTGGCTATTCTTACTTACTTTACATGAGTCGTAAACTGTAGCTTTTTGGCGTTGTACTTTTTGTCTTCTTCTTCAGTTTTTCTTCCCGGTTCTTTTTCCATTCGTCTTTACATCTGTTAAGCTTTTGTTCGCGTTTTTGTTGCTGTCATTTCCATTATCGCTCTATCCCGTTGTTTTCCATTAGCATATTTTACTTTGTACACATACTTTCTCTCTCACTCGCTCACTCATCCGTCTATCTGATGGATACGAATGAAAATTCGCCAAACTAAAGTGAAATGGATGATGGCAAACTGCCGATGTATTTACATGAATATTCCATAACAACATCAACATCGAAAGCAAAATGATGATGATGATGATGATAATGATGGCCACAACGTTGATAAGCAATGAAATTGTTTTGCCACATTTCGTGTGCGCTGTGCACCTTTCGACAGCCCCTAACTCTTTTCGCTCTCTCTCTCTCTCTCTCTCTCTCTCTCTCTCTCTCTCTCTCTCTCTCTCTCTTTTCTGCGCTCACTTGCCGTAATTCAGAACCGAATTATGTTGTTGCAGTGTGTGTATGCTTCCTCTGCGTTTAGTTTTACATGGATATTTTACGACCGGATTTGCCTTCATATGTAAATATATACACACACACACACACATGCACCCACACAAACAAAATGCCGAGACGGTCGGAATCCGTCCCAAAAATTGTCGATGTGTTGGTATAAATAATTGCCGTTATAAAAAATAATTCACTCATTGCACAATAACATGTAGACATGGTACTGAATAACTCTGTTAGAATAAATAAATAAATGCGCTGTACGGGTCGGGCACAAGCCCGTCTAAGCGTACCTTCTTTCACTCTTCCCACATTCACTCGCTCGCTCATTCACTCATGCCACTGAGCTACAGCATAAAAACGGCATATTACTTTTTATATCAAAATACTATTTATATGGTTGTCGAAAGGTACCACCAAAAGAATATGGCTTTCATTCGAAATGGATAATTTTTGAAATGGTGAAAAGCGCGCACGCAAGACCCAAGAGCAAAAGATAGAAAGGTAAAACGTGAGACTCACACAATGAGAGGCGAGAGGGGGATGAAGCAGCGAATTTAGCGCTTTAAAATGCTAAAATCCGATGGTCGGAATATAAAGATACTAGTAATTTACCGAAAACGTTATGCAACTAAAAAAAAAGACACCTTTCGCGTTCACATAAAAGCAATCAACCGCTCCGCACGACTGGTGGTTGTGGTGGTTTCAATCGCAGCGGGAAATAAATGCATACACATTTATACATGCATATATGGTGATTTTGATTAACGGTTGAAGAACTTGTCAATTGCTTCGTTAAAAATAAAATCAGCGAAAATTGATTTGCCTATAATTAATTGTCCAACAGAATGAAATGAATGAAATGAGCAGCAGCACAAACAAATGTCCATTATAGCTCCAACATGACAAGCTATATTATTAAATCGCCAAAATAGCAATCGACCGTTGTCGATGTGATTCGTGAATAATTCAATGAAAATGGAACAGAATGAACCAAAATGGCACAAATCAAAAGCTTTGCATCAACATTTTGCGATTGTATTCGTTTGTACATAAATAGATTACTATATTTTTTCTTGTCTCTTTTCTCTTTTTTCCTTCATTTAGGGCAATCGAACCTATCAAATATTCCCATATCACCAATTCTTGCTGGCCTAACTTTAACAGCTGCCATTTTATTTGCTGTTGTATGTATCGTCTTGGGAGCAATCTATCGACGACAGTCGAACAGGTAAGACTTGAATTTGAATCTCAATTTACTTTCAAAGTGGCCCCAGATTTTTGGTTTGAGTTTCTATTTTTTTTCTTCTCTTTGTTCGCCTCGATATGAATGAATCAAGTTAAACATAATGTCAAATGGAAACACCAATTCTATTTAGTGTATGGGGGCAATTTAGATGTTGACCAATATACCAATTCCATTCCATTTGTGGGTGATACAATTTGTATATGTACAGACATCATTCTCATCAATTTAAAAAAAAGAGGTCAATTAAAAGCATTCAGTGACAAAGAGGAAATTATACCTACACCTAATTGAAATGTAATCACTTTCGTCTTACTTCATTTCTCTTCACTTCATTCCGTCTCTAATTGACGGGTGCTATGTTTGAATTTAATTTTGTCGAGTGAATAAATTACGAATTGATTGACATTCCCGAAAATATAAATAGAATGTAATTGACCCTCAGAAGAAAAACATATTTGTTTCGATTGAAAACGATCGCATTAATTTATTGTTTTTAATTTCAGAAATGCCGAAGAGAATATCAAATCAGCAAAACATACCCAGCTGCCAGTCGTGCCAGCCGATTGTCAATTGGAGGCAACACAGCAGCATACACGAACGGTAACGGTGCCATCGTGTGGCGTTTCAACACCAATGATCAACAATTGCACCAGTGTTAACAATGATTCGCGACATCATCAGCTCATTAGTGATCAAGAGCCACCTGATGGTGACGAAACTGACCCTGATGTTATTCCAAATCAATACGGTAAGTTGACATGTATAGTATTTGTAGTGAAATAAATTCAATTTGGAGTTGAGCAGAATTTTGTTTTTCTTTTTATTCGGTGAATAGATTCGTCTTTTTTTCGTTTGAATGTTTCGTATAATGAAACAGAAATTATAGTGGTCAGAAACCATTGAGTTTTCAAGAGATAATCATAATTTATTTTGAGTGCCTTGCAAGGAAAACAAAAATTCATAATGAATTGAAGCCCTCTTCAATTTTTATTTCTCGAGAATATTTCGACAACTTTCAACTCTGACATCTCCTTGTGTAAACTCCTTGAGGTCCACAAGACTACCGCAACCAAAATCACAAATGACCACATTTTTTCGAAAGCCATTCGTGAAAATATAGAATAATCTTATTCGCCTCGTGAATGAAGTGGGTACTAAGTGTTTACTTGTGAAGCAATTCTGTCTACCTTCTTTATAGTTTTTTTTTCTGGATTTTTTTTATTTCATTCAATTGTGAGGTTTTTTTTTACGACAGTGAACAAAAATTCGAACAAAATGCTTAATACCAGTGCACGCTACAGATGGAATCAGCGTTGAATTGAATAAAGCGCGGATTAAGCGCCCTATACACAACAAACAGGCACTATGTGTGTTTATATTAAATAATTATATTCTGATAATAACACGGTTATGTGCACGTTTGATCAATTTTAATGTGAAGTTGTCGTGCAATGTAAATATTATGGTGGCAATTTGTTTGTCAGCTCCTCGGCATTCGTTTTATATTTTATTTTGTTTCGTTTTTCCTTCTGTTTATTCAACTATTTGATTTTCCGTTTCATTTGATTTCGTTCAATTTTTCATTTAATGCACCGTATTTTCGTTATTAGATTAGTATTAATAACTGTTTGATTCTGTTGTTATTTTACACTTGAAACCGTTCGTTTTATGAACGGAAAGACGTGTGCGGTGGCGAAGGGGGAACTTGAAAAAAAAGAAAAATAAAACAAAATGAAGAAGTTTCAAATATGTGCGCGAATGATACAAATAATGAATGAGCAAAGCAAACAGTGAACTTATTTTACACGCCTCATAGTGTTTGCCAGCGGCTGGAGGGTCTTTATGCGGAAAAGAAATACAAATGAAGCTTGCAAAACTTGAGAAGATGTAATTAACAGGAGGAAATTTACATTCAACTATATTGCAGATTCGGTGTTTTTCTTCTCTCTTTCTCTTTCTCTGTCTCAATCTATCGTGATGTATGTGTGCACATCAATTGCATTTATGTATTCTTTTCCTCTTCTCGCGTGATTACTAACTTGACTCAGTCGAGTGCCTACATTTCCGTGGTATCTCGTGAAGGCATGCTTTACTCTGTTTGACTATATTTCATTTTGGTTCAATGAAATAGCTTAATTTACTCGCCACAGATATTGATGGCGATGGTGTGGCAGCGGCAATAGCAACAGCTATGGCAACGGCAGTGGTGATGGCTTCGGTTTTTCATCTTCAACTTGCAAATGCAATGTGAGCATTTGCTGTCGGTGTGATTGTCTTGAGTTTTGCCAACGAATACGAGCAAATGGTTTTTGCTCTGCTTTCCTCGTCTTTCTTTTTTTTCGTTCGTCGGAAAACACATCTCGTTTCTCTCTTGAATGCGGTGAAGATATTTTTGTTCTGAATAGAGTGCATCGCGGCGAATTCAGTTCGTTTACGTCAATAGAGAGATAGAAAATGAAGAATTACATTTCATTCGCTAGCTATCCAAAAGCGATTAATTTTTCACGTTTGCTTCTGTGTGCATAATAAATGTGTGTGTACTGTGTATGTGTGTAATAGTGTGCACTGTGACCGGGGCATGAAGAAACTGCAAAATCGATATTCTTTTCTTAGGTTTTTCCTCACTTTTGTCTATTCCTTTTGAGTTTTGCAGCCTCGTGGTAAATGAACACAAACTCTCTCTCTCTCTCTTCCTCTCTCTCTCTCTCTTCCTCACTCTATTGCTGGCTGCTCGTGTCAGATAGTATGTTTTAAGCAAAGGAGTCACAATGGCTTCAACTCCAACTACTTCATTTTCTTGCTCCCTCAGCCTGCGCTTCGTCCGCTCACATCATCATCCTCTCGCTGCTTTTTTTCTGCTTCTTGTTCTATCTCTTTCCGATCGAATTATGTTGAATGAGCACTGCGAGTACTTGAACAATGCAAAATAAAGCAAGAAAAATTGAATGGTTAAGAATCGTTTAGAGAGAGAACAAATAATAATGCAAAAAAAGAAACGCTACACGGAAATAATCGTGAGCAGTTTCTCCCCCCCTCTCTCTCTCTCTTTCTTTGTGCTTTTTTCTCCGCTCGTTCTTCATTTTTTTAATATTGAACAGGAATATTATTTTTCATCTATCAGCGGCGGTGGTAGTGGTGGCGAGAAACGGGAATGATAGAGAAAAAGATCCTTTTGAGAGCATTTGAAATGAGAAAAGGCGCGTTGAAAAATTAAAAGTTAAGATTTATTATCTGCTCGTGAATTTGACACGCGTTTGAAAAAGTTTTTTTTTCTGCGTGCCGTATCGCGTGCAATACCATATTGATCCCCGCACTTGAAATCATCATATACATATATTCCGTTTCTATATCTAAACCAAATTCAGCAGCAATCGCATTTCATTCATCCTAGTAGATATCCGTTTGTATGTATATTCTTGCGACACCATACGGTAGAGAATAAGAGAGAAGGAGAGAGAGAGAGTTGGCCAAAACGAAGAAGATGAAGAAGAAGAAAAAAATTGGGCAAAAGGCGGTAATAAAGAAAATGAGAGTAAGAAAAATAAAAACTGCAAAAACAGACGCACCAAGTTCTAAAATAAATACATAAAAAGTTTTCGCTTTCCTATTTGTTGCGTATTCTCTGGCTGTTCGGTATTTTTCTGCGAAATTGCGAGTGTTTTCGGTGTAAAGTGGTTGAGTTGGGGTCTCTTTATTCATCTGCCACTGCTGCTGCTGTTTCTGTCGGAATCGCGCTTTGCAAATGCCAATGGAACATCGACCAAATGAAGAAAGGGCGCGAAAAATTCTTTCCGCCAGCATCAATCCAATTTCAGAAGTCATAGCACGCAAAACTTTGAATTGATTCTCAGTCATGTTTTTGTTCGTGTTGTTGTTTTATCTGTTTGCACTGTTCATTGTTCAGTTGCGTTTGTTTGGGCTGCTTTTCACCGCTTGTTTCATTCTTTCTTTCTTTTCTTTCATTCCAATTCCTTTGTTGCCGCCTGTTGTTAAATTTGGATGCCATTTTGCTTTCCAAATGCCGCCTGTTTCATTCTACTTGACTTTTTTCCGTTCTACTTGTTTCCACTCAGATATCTGTTTATTCACAAGGTACATTTTCGGTTATAAATGTGACGCCATATAATACCGTATTCGACTTTCGATTTCCAATGAAACAATCTGTGGTAGTGTTGCTGTTGCATATTGATTAGCATCGTTTAAACCAAACTTATCGAACTCCCCGAACATTCCGATTAAAAGAATAAGAACTCTTAAAAGTGCGTTACTTTCGCAAGCTTACTATTCCAGATCAGCCTTTTATATGGAATTTGCCATTTCGCACCCTCGGCCATTGTGACTTCGTCTCTCACCACTCACACGCTGTGCCGCCACTTCACCGATTTAATCGTTGCTCTAACCGCTAAATAGATTATGTGTTTTTCTCCCCTTCTACTAATTCTTCTTTTTTGGGCGCTTCTCCATCTGCTCGTTTTTGTTGTGAATTAAGCCGCAAAAACGCATGCACCGACAACGAAAAATTTCCTAGGCATTTTGTAAATGTGTAGCATTTGCATGGGGATCGATGTGAAGTGAAGTGAAGTCAAGACAACATGGAATAGACATAATATTGTTCTCATAATAATAAGTTTGGTGTCCGCTAGACTTTCCAAAGTGTTATGACATTTGATCATTTTATTCGAAAAGTTTCTTTTGTGTATGTGTGTGTGTGTTCGCTCACGCACCCTGGAACAAGTCGCACTCGCGTGAAGAAGAAATAATAATCATTATGCACAACAGCTTTTATGATACACACCACACCAATATCCAGCATGAATGTGATATTAATTTAGCAAAGAAGATGAAGAAGAAAAAAAATCGGCCAAGAAAAAACAGAGAGCCAGAAAAAAGGAGAGAGAAAATAAAGAGATTCCTTGCATATTAGGAAATTTGCTTAAAATATTCCCTCTGTTTCGGTGGTACACATGCTTTGTGATTGCAGGCACAGCACAAGACGCGTATAAATGCGTGCGGGATACCGTACCGAATCCGATTTGCATAGAAATACATAACACTTTCATTGTTATTCAAAGGAGACACGAATTCGCGATTTTGCGATTTCTGTTTTTATGTCTTTCACTTGTTTGAAGGTTGCTGGCAAATTATTATATTCGGCCATTCGCATTTGCATTTGCATGACTTAGAAGATAATGGTGATTGCCACTCTTGGATCGGTTATGTCGTCAACTACGATGATGACTATGGATGGTGTCGACCCACAGAAGCCAATGGTCTGCACAAACACTTATCGATACAGACATCGACAGACGTCAATAGTCGAGGATTACTGTAATAATGTCCAAGTGCTGCGCAGTGAACGGACAAATCATACATTTTATGTCCATTATGCAAAAGCGTCCACTCGAATCAGCTTATATGGTACCTGATGAAGCAGCAATCTTAATCCAACATTTGAACGGGAAAAAGAAAGTTTCAAACAGGATACACGTTTAACGGATTAAAAGAAATGCTTCGTTCAAACATTTTTCCAACTGATTTTCCTAAAAATTTGCAAGGACTGATATTCGCCGTGGTCGTCGTTGCCGTTGTCATTATCGTCTTTGTCGTTGGTTTCGATTGCAATCAAACGAACTAATTTAAAATTTCGAGTAACAATTTACAAGTTTTGCCATTCGCTCGTTTCGTGATTCAATGCTTCTGCTACATTCAATTACCATTTTATATGTGCATATATATAGCTTGTGTTCCGTTTGATTCACAAAGAAACGACGGTATCGATAATTTGGTTGGTTGTTAATTTTTGGCTTTGCCTCGAAATCGACTTTATCTCTTGTGTTTCGATTTCTGTTTGCATTTAAATTACGTCCAAATGCCAATTTGCGATTACTCTCTACTTATCCAGATATAATCAGGTCCCTGATCAAAACAAGTAATGCGCTGTTTTGTCATTCTACATTTAATGTTCATTCGCTGGAATACTTCATCTATTGCATCGAAATTCAAATAGCTATAGTTGTTTTTGTTTTTTTTTCTCTCTATAAGAAAGAAAGATAATTGTGTATTCTTCAATCTGAAATCCGCTACTTATCCAAAATTAATTAAAATGATGTGCTTTCAAATACGCTCGACCGCGCCTCTCTCACGCCTCAACTTATTATCTGACAGTCGATTTGAAAACATTATCCCCATTAAAAACTTTTTGAATGCGATGATCGAAGCATCCAGTATCTCTCAACCCATTTATAATGCAAATGAGAAAACACACGAAAATTACCTTACAGCATTGATTGAATTGATTCATGTGTTAGAACTTGCATCTTTGATTTTGCCGCTCGCGCATCGCACACAAACACACCCTCCAATTTGCATTGGATTGTCATTGATTTTGTAATGATGCGCGAGGCGGCGAATGGAGAGAGGGGCACTGAACGAAAATTCGCCATTCCAAAACAGCTTTAGCAAATTTCAAATTCGAATAAGATAACCGAAACACAGCGAGTCTAATAATACGATTGCTATGGATTTGAGAAAAAGCCACGGAACATTGCAAGATTATCCAACAGAACTAAAAATTGGTGGAGAAAAGAACAAGAAAAAAACAAACCAATTTCTAAAGGAAGCGAACAAACTTATTCGACTCCATTTATGCCTTTGGAAAATGCGTTTGCCATAAAAATGAAATGATGTTGCTTTGGCTCCTATTTCTGCTGCTCATCCGTTGCCTGTGTGTATAATACGAACAATTGAAATTGAAATGGAAATGAAAGATGCACAAGTATACCGATATTTTGCTCCGAGTCGAACCGATTCCCATGTCTTCCTTTTTTCTTTCATTCATTTTTATCATACCTCGACCCTCCCCAAAAACCATTGTAACATTGCCGTAAGTTTTTCAAAGCGCGCTAAAAGTTTTCGCTATATCCGCATGATTTATTTCTATCGATCGTACGAAAAGATGAAAAGGAAACCGAAGCAGAAATAGAATAAGCAACGAAAATCGGTGTGGCAAAAGGAACGTAACAAAGCAAGATGGATTGCAATATAACACGAGTGTGTGGATGTGCATGTGTGTGTGTGTGTGTGTGTATCGGGTCATTGTGTGATGAGCGTGAGAATGTGAATTCGGATGGGTGTCTCTCTCTCTATCTTGCTCTTGCTAGTGTATATCAGTGTGAGATGGTTTGAAGATTTTCGGCAGTTAAAAGTTTCACTTATTGTTTTTTGTTGCTTGCGGCTGCTAGTTTACTCTCCATTTTCAATCGACTTCGGCGCTAAATTATCTGTTTGTATGGCTGCATCGTTGTATGCGGCGTTGTTTTATATGTTTCACTTCACTATTTTCGTACCACATACTCTCTCTCTCGCCATCTCTCTCTCCCTGTCTCTCATCGGATCGTTCACAATCGCTTTCTGATATCGCTCAAGAAACATGCGGTGGAAATTACGCGAAATGCCAAGAATGTTCGTTAATTTTGCAATGCAACAACTTTATGTTGCCATTGCAGCTATATTACCGATACTAAAGGGGCCGTCATCCCTTTCGTTTCTCTCTCTCTCTCACTCTCTCGTCTTATATTGTTTATGTTTTTTCTTCTTCAATTCTCCGTTCGGTTCGGTTCGGTCTTCTCTTTCAGTTCCTTTTTCCACATTCTCATTATTCAAACGCGAAGTTTGTTTTATTTATTTGCTTGATAAGTATGAGCAACAACACAAAACCCAACGAACCAGAGCCACTCAGACCGAAGCGCTAGGCGATGAGAGAAAAACGTGGTGGACATTCAGCAGAAATCATAATGTCTATTTTATTGCGGTATCTCGCGTATTGTTGAATTACATGGCAAATATATCATTCGCATACGAATCGATGTGTGTATGTGCGCTGTGTTTCTTCTGCCATTCGCAAAAGTTGTGTTGGCAATTTCCTTGCCAATGGCCCGAATGCATTACCATTGTTGATCTTAGTTTCTAGTGTAAAACAAAAGATCCATAAATAATAATTATTTCGACTGCATTTTGTTTATCTGTCTATCCAGGATATGCATTTGTGCCGTTGTTCTTTAGTACGTATGAATGCATGCACATCTTATGTTTTGAAAAAAAAGGGGAACCCACATATACTTGGTAGTCCGCACTCATCGCACGCTCAATATCAATACAAAGTTTTTACGTCAGCACACTTTTACTTCGTCACATGTTCCCCTCCATTCTCCACATTTCTCCTGTGTTGAATTTGATGTTGGGCTGTGGTAGAAGAGCGGCAGTCATACTAAACAGTAACACTGCTTATTGCTATTACATCAATAATGAATAACTTTTTAACCTAACATATCTATATTTTCAATTGAATCTGAAACTGAAAATGCGATATTCTAGCGTTGAACAAATGAAATCAATTGACGTTTAGATCTGGAAGTGACTCAGTAATCACGGAGCGCGATAGTCCGGCAAGTGACGTTCCATGAATTACAATGATTTTTATGCTTCATTCATACAATATAAGTGCTATCATCTTCAGTTTATTTAAATTTGATGCAAATCGATCGGATTATTTAAAGGAATCTATCGATTTTTTGCTTGTATAGATTCTTCATGCGTTTCTCCTCAAAATCCATTTAAACGCTAACGAAATAACGGCTCTTTAAATATATTCATGGAGAGAGTCTCTTATAGAAGATATATCCTTAAAATAAACACCTGAAAAGAAAAACAAATAAAATATTAACGTTAGTTTGTTCTAAACTGAATGTGATTACTATTGAATCAAAGTGAACGGCTCTTTTTTCAAGAGAAGTCATTGAAATTTCAATCAAAAACGAAGCAAATTCGATAAAAGAATTTCAACAACGCTCTATGAGTTCGCTTCATTTTGTTTCTAAAACACAAATACACACAAAGTGAGTGGGAAAATCATTATGGCTTTTAGAAAAAATATTCAAAATAAGTTTTTATTCCCCGGTTAGCCGGGGTCAGCCCTTTGTGTAATAGTAGACTGTGTGAAAAGAGTGCGGTATTTTGTGTATGTGTATGTGTATGTGAGTGACGAACACGGCAACGGCCAAATATTTATCTACTCGATGTTGGTTTGTTCGTGGGAATTACCTGCATTGGTGATGGGTTTGGGCCATTGCAAATGCAAAATTTGTACAGCGAAAAAACACACACACACACACTCACGCACGCACTAAATAGCAAGCTTCAAAGTGTTCGCTGCGAATATTTGCGAAACCAATTGACAACCCATGGACAGGGCGAAATTTATTATTGATTTCGATTTGAATAACGTATTTGAAGCGTAACTTCGAAACATTGATACTGGATAATCATGCGTATTTATTGGATGCTTAGCCGCTATCGTGACTGCCACCACCGATCCCACCTCCACCACCGCCTCCATTAATGCATTCCAAAATTTACATGGATTTTAATGCATGATGTTCTTTTTCACGCCATTGAGGTTGATTCGAAATTGTATATACGTGTGCGCCCTGTGCTCACACCGTTGACGTCAAAATTATAGATTGTTTTTGGCCTTTCGTCGAACTGAACTGGCAATAATTTCAGTTGTATATGATAAGGAGAGCCGAAAAAGACATACTCGATTGTCATATTTAAAATGCATGGGGGTGGCATATGAATGACGTTGTATTCGAGCTACCGCTCTGCCTTAGAATTACATGCATTGAACAGCGGTCATTTGAACATCGACATAAGCAACTTACGGTTGGTGAAAGAGATAGGCGACGCGCGCAAATTAGACGCATACGAAAGTTACTTTATTCAGAGGAGCAACAACGCATTGCATCTGGATAACGGGAACATCGAGTCAAATTTGCTGTCTCGGTTGCTATGATGCTACACCGACCGATGTTTTTACGTGACAACCGACGACTTTTCTGTTTAGTCGTGATGCTGATGATGGTATGATAATACCGAAATGCATTCAAGGTACTCTTTTCAAATTCTTTTGCTTTAAATGAATTGAAAATATTGAATTAGTGAAAACAATAAGGTGTGATTCAATTGTTTGTTGGGTTGTATTCGTGCCAAATTTATTTTGAAAAATTTTGATTGGTATTCATGAAAATTTGACAGGATACGCGTTGGCGTAAATTCATTCATTCGTTCGATTGAAACATTTGCACTGAAAATTTTAAAGGTGAAAGTAGCAAATGAGTTGGTGGCTGTTGTTTGTGTTTATGCATCTAAATTAACTCCATTTTCGACCGCACACATTTGTAAAGTAGCCCATAACAATCATTTTCTATTTAGCAGCAGTAGCAATAGCATCGAGTGAATTACTTTTCATTGCGTATTTTCCCGACCGTATTATACACGTTAATTTATTTGCGAGGAACAAAACCGATCTGAACATTTTGGTGGTTTTTGCGTCAGAAGGCTCAAAGCATTTCATCGTTTAAATTTCGAATCGATACTCATTCTCACACTCTCACTCTAATAATGTTAATGGATTCGCAGAAGCGAATTTATTTACCAAACTTGAGCAGCCATTTGTGAATTGAATATATTGTTGCCGATTTACAATGATGATTGACGTTGAATTTATCGTCCGGCGGCCATACTAAAAAAAATTTCACACTTTCTGTAGTTTTACACTTGCATTTTGACTCTAGATTATTTGAGGCAGTTGGAAATGTTCCGCGTAAATCTTATCAATTTTATATCATTTTCAATTTTCTTTTTTTCCATGGGTTTTATTACAGAGAGACGACCATTAAAATCATCCACACAAATTCCATTGTTCCGAAGCCCATCGGCACGGCTCGTGCAACACGACAAATTGCTGGTTGATGATGCGTACAGAGGCAGCGATGGATCAATCGTTTGCTCTTTAGGAGGAATGAACAACAAAGAAGTTCACCATTACACATTTCAACCTAGCAAACAAATTGTAAGTAATCTATTTGAATTGCATTCGGGGCCCACGTTTGGCCATTAGTCCAAACACCGTTCGGCCATTGTTTATTGCTATCCACGTTTGCGGTGTTCTGCGATGCAAATCAGCTTAGCCATGACATGATGCAGTGGTAACAATGGGGGACAGCAGCAGCTACGATATGCCCACCGGCAGCACATTATGAATTCAAATATTTGACAAGAAAATAGTTTTATATTAATTATGCCACATCACACTTGTACAGAGCATAATATGCATGACATACATAGCTATGCTTTGTTCCAATGTCGCAGTTGATAGGTATGAATATGTGTGTGTGTTTGAAAACCGCACGTATTTAGCCCAAATCAAAATCAAGATTACATAATAAATTAAAAATTTATTCGGGCCGATGAAAGCAAATTGTATAAACAGCACCGTTCCAATTAACACACTGACACTGTCTGTAACACATGAAGTTGGCAAAGCTAAAAATTCCAATGAAATTTCGAAAACCTGCCATATCATCGAAATTTTTTTTAAAATGCATCACAATTTTAATGCTCGAAAGAAAAAACCATCAAGAGGCAAACCGATCGTTGTGTTTTGCTAAAACATTTTTGAAATGAGCTAATCACACTGTTCACCATCCATCAAATGCCATACTCCATCGTTTGTGTCATAGCAGGGGAAAATTTGTGGCGCGTTCCATTGTATCATAAAGTGATAGTTAAATATAAAATCAGTTGTTGATGCCGCCCTTGTAGTCCCTTCCTCCGTATTATCTTTCTCACACACACAAATTACACGGAATCCGGTCATAATGCTGCAAATAAACAGAAAAAAAAATCATGAAAAACAACAATGGTAATGGCAAATTAGCAAACAGCATTCGAATACACATTGGTTATTCAAATTGAATGATGCAGCTTTTATTTGTTTGAGTGAAATTGAACATACAAAATGCAAAGCGATGTGAATATATGTATTGTGGGAGAGAGAGGAACAAAAAAAATGTGTATGAATGTGCGTATGGTCATGCTAAAACTACAAAAACATGAACACCCAAAACAATAGCAATGATAATAATGATAATGCGGACGGAGCTATGAAAACCTGAAAATAATGAGTGTAATGTTTAATTGTAAATGAAAATGAAAATGTGAACTAGTTTATCCATGCGATAAATAAAAACCGTTTGGAAAAACCAATCCCGAACTAAATTTTCCTGGAACTGGCAAACAGAATAATTTGTCAATTGTTGTCTGTGTGTGCGGGAGAATGGGGCAAGAGAAGGATAGAGAGAGAGAGAGAGAGAGAGAGAGAGAGTGGGCGCTAGAGATATTCGTATAAAATGACGTTCGCCTCTTTGTGTAAATTGTGAATTATACAAATATCATATTTAGGTATTGTAAATTTCATTTAGCCGCCTCAACATTCATTATAATTTTGATCGACGTTGTAATGAACATTTTGTTTTGAGCCTATTTAAATAATTCAAATGTTGAAATTGCAAAATTTGCTTAATTGCAATGAAAGCAATGTTAAAGAGGCAGATAGAGAGAGAGAGAGAGAGAGAGAGAGAGAGAGAGAGAGAGGGAGAAAACGAAAAAAAGAACGAGATAGAATATTGCAAAAACGTGTTCGTGACTGTATTCGCCAGTAAAGTTGTCGATGCGGTGCCGGTCACAATGACATACACTTATAGCTGCACAGTTAATAATATATTATTAATAATTATCAATACTATATTATTAACTGGGCGGTATTAACAACTGATACGTTATTAACATCGCCTGTTAATATCGCTATTACTTACTAGTTAATACCAGTTAATACCGTTATTATCATACTAATATATTATTAGCATACGATGTTAATACCGATAGTATAATTAATAATATATTATTAACTGTGCAGCTATACATGTACTTCCATCAAACGGATTTGAAATGACCATCTCCATGAAGCCCGCATATTAAAATAGCCACGGTCACTGAAATTCTATACAATTTTTCAAGATTTTAATAGATTCGAAAGCAAACAAAGGCCATTTCGCATTATTCCAATTCGTGTCGAAAACTGACGACAACTGACTGATTTGTCGATGCATCACCATGATGGAATGATGTCATCAAAACTACATAGTCAATTCGATAAAGTTGGTCGTGTGTCGGATACACAAAAATAAACACACTCTACCGCTCTCTTGCACACGCACAACACATACACACACACCGGTATCCTAATCCAATTTAAAATTCAATATATACTGGCAATTAACATTGCTTTGAGCTGCTAATAAATGATTATTAATTAATATCATTAAATCACCAGCGACGTTTTGAAGCATGATGTGTATCTATGTAGTTGCAGATTATTGCACGGAGTTGCAAAATGCGGGCGCAGACCACTGTTTTGCCTCGGAACAATCTCACAATGCATCAGCCACACCAGTGCAATGAATGGTGGTCGATCGATGTGCTTTTCATACTATTTTTTTTTTATCAATAGTTTCGTGGAATATTTTTCGCTTCATTTTGATTAAACCAGAAAAAATGTGTTGGAATACCGAATTGATGATTTTAAATATTTTGTATTTGATTCGCTTATAATAATCGGTTAACAATGAAATCAAATATCTGCCAGAAAACGATGATATTTGATCCAATTTGCACCGATGAAGATCAGAGATAGAATTTATCGCGTCGAAAATTGAACATTATCTGATGGAAAAGCTCTGTATTAATTGTGATAACATTAAATTCATTTCAATGATATTTGCGATGATTTCCGTGTATTCGGTGCGGTTATCATATATTCTTCATCCAGAAAATACAAATATGGAGATTATAGTCAAAGAGAGGTTGTGAATTTCATCCAATTTTGATAGGCAAAAAATGTTGAAAATTTTCAGCATAAAGAAAATGGTTGTCGGTATCAAATTCTGTAGCTGCACCACAAATGCTAGTTGTTTTATTTAACATATACTCGAAAATAGCCATGGAACATTGAATCTCGTACAAATATAGTCTAGGAAATTCTTCAAACTTTAGTCAAAATTCAAATCCTTATAACGAATTGAAAATGTATCAATTTCAAAATGTGTGATAAATATTTCAATGAACATTTTCTCTATCTCTCCATTTTCAGAGTTATGCAACATTAAGTAGAGGGAATAAGAGTGTGACTACATGCAGTCCAGTCGCTGCCCAGCCCGCAATTCAATTGCCAATGGGTGTGAGTTTATTGAGTCCAACCAATCATAATCAATCGTTAGTGACGTCTTCATTAAGTGAGTATCGGTTTCGACCGGAAATAGTTACAACATCTAATCGAATACAGGAAAGTTGTATATAAACCAAACTGAACATCCCCCTATCAACCTAGCTACAACATAGAAAGCCATTTTATTTATAAAAAAAAGGAGAATAAAAAGAGAACAAAAATATGTATTACTATTATTATTTAATAATATTTTGATTAAATACCTAATTTAAAGAGGAAAAATAAGGAAGAAACAAAAATTGATAAAAAGAACAAAAGAAAATGCAAAAAGTTGATCCGGATAAATTTAATGTTATTTAATAAACAAACAAAGAAAATACGCATTAAATTTGAGATAGCTTAGGTAATAGTTTAGCCTAATTGATGGTAAAAAAACAAAATGAAGTCTCCTTAACCGTATTTGTCCATTAAGTCTAAACTAAGTGATCAATATCATAAAAGTAACAAAGAAATACACACACACAAAAACAAATGTCATATAATGTGTGAACGCGAAAGCATGTCAAAAAATGATACATTTACATATTCATAAGAAGTATTTATTGAAAAATCATAGATGCTTTAATAAACAAAACAGAACAAACTGAACTATTTACGTGTATTTAAAACATTTATTACATGTCGTTATCAAAATAAAAAGAACAACAACCGAAAATCGAACGAGAAATATTATCACATAGTTTAAAAGCCATTTGACGATATACAATACATACGACTAAAAGTGAGATAAAACAAAGATTGGAATACGACGTATTTACTATATGTTTTAGCTAAAGTATATAACAGAAAATAATTAATTCAAAAAAAAATAATATTAATCAAGTGAACATAAAATAATGAGGAAACTATATATAAATCTCTCTCTCTATAAATTATATATATATATATATATATATAAATGGATCGTAAATGTAAGATTAAGTAAGTTTTAAGTGAGGGACAGGTGATCTAACACGATCTATATTGTGTGCTGAATTAATGAAGCCATTTAATGAAAATTACGTTGTAGTTCGGTCGCAAAACTTCGAAGAAAAAAAAATGTTTAGAAAGAAAACAACAACATCAACAAAATATGTCTTCATATTTCGTTGGAATTCATTGCAATTGCTAACTATGCTAAACTAAGAGCTAATCAAACTTGTCTTGTACGACCTGAAAACACGTCAGTTGGACATTGAAAATGGCCTAGTCGGAATACAACCACCTTGTATAATGCAATAAAACCACAATTATACGAACAAAATTATAGCCATCTTTTTCTTTGCATGTCAATTGTTTCACTTCTTCCATCCCGTACAAACAACATCCCATTTGAAAATAGCTGAACAAACTCTCGATCTCTCTCTCTCTTGCCACTGATTCCCATGGAGAGAAGAAAAAAAACCAATAAAATCATCCATTTTCATGAAAGATTGCCAAATTCATGCGCTGCATTCCATTAATATTGTTGATTTCGTAACAAAGAGAATGGATGCATTCATTGCTCCAATATTATTCGCATCTCTCGCCGTCTCTCTCCTCCGCCATTCCTCTCTCTCTCTCTCTCTTTCTCTCTATCTTGTGCGTTTCGTGGGGAACCATTTTTTTTGCGAAATTGAACGCCCATTTTTAATGAAATAAATTCTCCAGATGCTACAGAATAAAAAAAACTTATGTGTGACAAAGAAGAAAATCTCAAACAACGAATGTTTATGAAAAAAAATATAGAGTGAAAAAAAAATCGTTCAACCGGCATTATAACGAGAGCACAACAAAAGCCAAAATCCACGAACAAAGATGCGCGACACCCTCACACACAAAACGAGATGCAAGCGAAAGAGTTGCAAGCGAAAAACTGGACCTCTTCAAGTCACAATTGACACATGGTTCGTATTATTTTATAGGGTATATTTTATTAAGAGGCAACAAAAGAGAAATTTAAAGGGAGAAAATCGCAAGTATCTAACCAAATATTGTTTGCAATATTCGCTTACAACAAGATTCAATTCATTGCAATGTTGGTTTATACATTTTTCTTTAACATTCTTTATGACCGTGACAATGTTTTTGTTCCGTTCCTGCTTAGCGCATAACAATCTTACTGTTATTGTTAGTAATATTATATTGCAAGCTTCACTTTGTCTCTGAAGCTTTCGCAATATGAATGTCGACTAACAAGCAGATAAAAATCGTTTGACTGCAGCAGCAGCAGCAACAACAACAACAACAGCACACACAGAAAAGAGACGAAAATGCGCGACAAACAGCGGAAAAAAAATTATATCACATTACGGAAGAAAAATTTTCTGTTGGTGATAATAAACAAGAAAATGAATTTAAATAAAGGACACCCCCTATATATACATATTTCGACCATTCTATCTTATTGTCACTGTTTTTGTGTGTGCGCGCGTTTGGATATAAACATTCACAACGGTTGGGTTTTTGCACAATAGTCGCCTCTTTTTTCTGTTGCTCTCTCGCTCACTTACTCCGCGACAACGACAATAGTTGAAATGAACAAAACACACGAAAAGGACAAGACAATCTAGCAAAAAAAAAAATAGATAAGAGAATTAACAGGACTGTGCACTTGTCCTGGCTGCATTTATTTAAAGTTGAATGTATTTTAATTTTGAAATGCAAAAAAACGAACACAAGGAGCAAGGGAGAGAGAGAGAGAGAGTTCACAGCCAGACAAAGCTGTTCAGTTTGTCGGAGAGAGTAGTAATCCATGATGCGATAGAGCAACTGCACCCCATAAACACGTATTTAGTTGTGATTCACGGTGTTCACTGAACTAACATCGAATGAAATGAGACAAGTTTCGGCGGATGGGTTTCACTTTTTCGAGGACTATTTCGCTGGATATTTTAACTCAACTAGTTAAATACTTCAGAAGCCGTCGAATTGAAAATTTAATAGGAATTTAAACTTTAGACTGATTGTTCGAATCATGAAAAGCACACTAAGGGATAGAGGAAGAGAGAGAGAGAGAGAGAGAGAGAGAGAGAGAGAGAGAGAGGAAGAGAGAGAGAGAGAGAGAGGAAGAGAGAGAGGAAGAGAGAGAGGAAATGGATAGCAGACGAGTATTATGCTTATGCAGATCTCTACTACAAGACAAATTGTTGAGACCGTATCCCAATTTCGTCACAACATATTAACAAACTGACTGGTGGGATGGATGCTTATGCTGGACGCATTGAATTACGCAATAGTTGGCAAAGCTCGCGGTAAATTAAGTGGTTATGAAAATTTTTGATTGGATTATCAACATTCGACGAGCTCACGATGCATCTCAATGATCATTCATACGACGGACGATGAAATGGTGGTATGATGGTATAGCAAAGAATGTATTTAACAAAATCCCGTTTGAAGTGTGTCTCGAAATGTATTGGACTTTTACTCGCAAATATCGCTTAATTAAAAAACTTTATCAACTTCTTTTATACAGTTAGCTGGTGTGCGTAGCTTTTTTTTCTTCTTGTTTCTCTATTTCACCCGCCACTGAGTGTGGTTACATCGATAAATGCCCTTATCAAATATGCATTTTAAATTGGCAACTCGAAATGGATTCGACCGTATTCGTGTATACAAAGTTTCTTTTTTTTTCAAGCAGTTGAAACGATCACAAAAACTAAAGTCACACATAAAGAGAGAGAAAAAAGCACATACACAGAACGAGAGGGAGAGAGATAGAATGGGAGAGTGACGGAATGAGAGAAAGAAATGCGATAAGTTGTGCACAAAGCATTGGCACATTCTCATCTAAAGAGTGCAGTGTCCCGATTGCCACTGCACAGTAAACATAGTTTTCAAATGACACAAATATTTATATAGTTTTTTCTTCTTTTTCTTCACTCTCCCGTTCGGTGTGCGCACCGTTTCTAGTGTCAAAAGTCGACTGCGAAAAACTTGTGTTTTACATTCTCAGCGTTTTTTTTGTCCCTCATCGAATGCGTACAGCATCGTGTTGAGTTGTACCGTTAAGATAGTGTAAAAAACGTGTTATTGAATAAAATAGAGTTGGACAAAAGAAGAAAACGAACCAAAGACCAGGAAAAAAAAACAAAATTCAGTATAAAAAAATCGTATTTAGAGTTGAAAGATCTAGATGTAAAATGAATGCAACAGCAGGACAAAGAACAACCAACCAGAAAAAAATGCACAATATTAGCCATCCCACTCTCAATCGTCTTCTATAAGTTAAGAGAATTGAACTGAAGCCATAAAAACTATGTAAAATGGCATTCACATGTACACTTGTGCACCGATAAAAAGCAGTTTCGAGAAAAGAGAAATCACAAGAAATTCGTTCGTATTTTTTAAGCTTGGAAAGGCGACTCAGAATGTGCGCGCGAGTGAGTGAATGGTGAGCACTTGCTTTTAATGCCATTTGACAATTTAGTTCTATTTTATTCTTGCTTATTGCCTGTGAATGCGTATATGTGCTGTACGTAAACGTATTCTGCCCGTGCTTTGAGGTTATGTGTGTGTGTATGTGTGTCTCGATGCAGAAATCTTGACCCATTGAAAAGCTCAGTACAGTTCGTCAGATTGCGATATCGTAATTTATTTCTCTCAATTTCACATCGTTTGTCCGGTTGCACTGGTCGTCTTTCTCAATCTCTCTCACTCCCGCTCTGGCTCTGTCTGCTTCAGCTCACTCAGCTCGGCACTATCCCCTTGAATCGTTGTGTTGAAATAAAAAGTTAAAACGGGAAAAGCGCAATGAATTTTAAGTTTATTTGTACAATGCATTTGTGTATTCAAGAGCAACGGGAACAAAGACACGACAACAAGGCGAAACGATGATTGCGAATGAGCAAAAATTGTACACATAAAAATCAAGACCGAGTGCAGATAATTTGCTGAGTGGGCCCGAAAAAGGCACGTCTTGGTTTACAAAAGCTCACAAACTTGAGCGCACAGAGAGATTGAGAGACGGAGTGCCGAACAACAAAGAGCTGCGAGTGGGTAAAAGAGAAGTAGAGAGAGAGAGAAAGTAAACAAATAGCTAGCTGGATTATTCGCATAGTTTGCCAAGTATTTGGATCGCTTGAGCACGGGATCGAATTTATTTGATCTAACCCATACAAAAATGTGCGCTGATGAGACGTTAGCGCGACGTTTGATGTTTTATATCTATGGGTGAGATTGAGAGTGGAGTATGTTTTTTCTTCGATTTATATTTTTGAAAAGGCGAGTATGTTTTCTGATGATTCTGTTGGCGTTAAAGTAGAGTATGTCGTAGTACCGTCTAGCCTCTGCCGTCTTCACGGTTTTCGCGCAACTGATAGCAGATCACAACATGGTGTCTTCGACAAAGTTGTAGCACTCGAGGTCTCCTATAATATTGCTGAAGACATCTATCTCTTATCAGTTGCGCGCAAATCGCGCACATAAAAAAGCAAATTTTATATAGAACTTTTTTTTTCTTATCATTTTTCGCGCTTTTTGCGGAACTGATAAGAGATAAGAGATAACTGGGCCCCCAGCGAACTTTAAAGTTGAATAAAAGTACTAAGCAGTGTATAAACCAACCGGAGTTAAGTCGCATTGTATAGATTGAACATTTCTCTACACGAATGAAAAAAAACATATACATATGTGTGAGTATGTGTAAAATACAGCCTGCCGCAAAACATGTTACGCTGTTGTTCTTGGGGGACTCCAGGGCCCCATGGCTATTTTATATTATAACTGGACTATGATAAGAGATATCGACTTGGTGTCTGTAGCAGTGTTGTAGACTAGTTTATGTACTACAACTTCGCCGCAGACATTAAGTCGTTATCTCTTATCAAATACGCGAAAAGCCGCGAAAACGTGAAAAACGCGAATTCATAGTTTCTCATTTTTCAAGGAACTGATAAGAGATAACGAGATGGTGTCTATGGCAAAGTTGTAGCTCTGGTCGAGTACTACAACTTCACTACATCCACCAAGTCGTTATCTACTATCAGTTACACGAAAAAATGATAAGAAAAAATTCGCGTTTTTCACGGTTTTCGCGGCTTTTCGCGTAACTGATAAGAGATAACGACTTGATGCTTGAAGCGAAGTTGTAATACTTAATCTGCTTTACAACTTTGGTATAGACACCATCTCGTTATCTCTTATCAGTTTCGCGGAATATGCGAAAAACCGCAGAAAACCGTGAAAAACGCGAATGTTTTCTTATCATTTTTTCGCGTAACTGATACGAGATAACGACTTGGGGTCTGTGGCAAATTATAGTACTCGACCAGAGCTACAACT